CACAGCCAAGCCAAATATCATTAGGCAGCAAGCAAGTGGCTCTTTACTTGGTTGTCAGTATGACTGAAAGTTCAGGCTGGACAATGATTTGAGCAAGGCCACTTGGGGTAAGGACACTCTCCGCCCACTCAGAGACCTGGAAGCCAGGATGAGGACAAAGAAAGGCAACTCAATGTACTGCAAACACTCCCCAGGACACTTGGTGCCAGGAGCTAGCCTCTGCTGCTTGTTCTCATATTGCTCTAATTTTTTGCAATGCTGGGGGGCCTTTTAAAATTTTAATTTTATTTAGGGTACCAGAGATTGAACTGGGTGGGGGGTGGGGCACTCAGCCACTGAGCCACATCTCCAGCACTATTTTGTATTTTTTAAAAAATATTTATTTTATTTTTAGTTTTCGGCAGACACAACATCTTTGTATGTGGTGCTGAGGATCCAACCTGGGCCACACACATGCCAGGCGAGCGCGCTACCGCTTAAGCCACATCCCCAGCCCTCTATTTTGTATTTTTATTTAGAGACAGGGTCTTACTGAGTTGCTTAGTGCATTTCTGAGTTGCTGAGACTGGCTTTGAACTTGTGATCCTTCTGTCTCAGCCTTCTGAACCACTGGGATTACAGGCGTGTGCCACTGTGCCTGGTTCCTTCTTTACTTTTTGAAGCAGGGTCTTGCTAAATTGCCTAGGCTGGCCTCAACTAGAGATCCTCCTGCTTCAGTCAGTCATTGGGGTTACTGGGTGTGCAACCATGCCCAGCTTCTCATGCACTTCTCTAATAGCAGGTTACAGACTGTCTCACTGACCTGCCAGGCAACCTCCCTGCAGAGAGATGTGTTCTGTTCATTTAGCATTTATCTATGGGAGGACAGTACATTGTTTGGGCACCTTCTCTTGTGCTCAAGAATCTTACAACCTGGTCAGGCATGGTGGCACACACCTGTAATCTCAGGAGCTTAAGAGGCTGAGAGGTCCTATGCAACTTAGTGAGACCCTATCTCAAAAAATATAAAAGGTTGGAGATAAGGCTCAGTGCCTCTGGGTTCAATCCCTGACTACCCACCCCCTGCCCCCAAATCTTACAAATCAATCTGAACTCAATCATATGCTGTGTGAATTCAGGATTTCTTCCAATTTGGAGAACTGGGAAGGTTTCAGGGAGGAAGTGGCAACTGATTTTGGGCTAGAAGGCTGGTGAAGAGGTTGTTAAGACTGTGAAAGAAGGGCAGCAGTGTCAAACTGGCACCCATCTTCTAGAACTTCAGTGGCAAATTGTCCAATTTGGAGCAAGGGATGAGGAAGCAGAGAGAAAAGCTGGTGCACTATATTGGGTCTGGATGATACATTGCCAACAGTATGGGCAACATAAGGAACTATCATGGCACAGATATCACCTGCAGAGATCCAGGTTCACATCTGAGCTCCCAAATTCCTGGCTGTCTTTCTTTAGGCAAGTTACTTACCATGATGCTTTTTGCACAAAGGGATGTGATACCAGGTTTTCAGTGAGGTTTACATGAGGGTGCAAAGGATTGCTTTTAAACTGGTCCTGGTTTACTGTTTACTAGTTGTGTGATCTTAAACAAGCTACTTAACTTTCCTGAGCCTGCTTATCCAACTGTGAAATGAATCTAGGGCACTCACTACAGTGCCAAGCACATAACAGGTGTTCACTACGTGATTGTGTTTTCTCTTTTCTTTGGTGGGCAATGGAAGCTATTGAGTAAGGGTCCAAAGGGCACCTTCAGGTTTATGGCAGTGCCAGTGGTTTGAATAGATCATGAAGAGTGATTTCTGTGAAGAACCAATGGGCTAAGCAGATAGATGACTAAACATGTCAGGGACAGACACCAGGTGTGAAGCATAGGCATCAGGAAGAAGGTGGACTACCACTCCAGTTAAGAGAGTCCAGGGCAGGGTGAAAGGAAAGGGGAGGAAAAATTGGCTCTTGAATCTGTATTAAAAGTGGCAGCTACAAAAGAATGGATAATTAAAAACAGAAAAACCACAGGCTCGAGCAATTGCACTTTGGGTTGACCCCAAAGAACTAAGAGTCTGAAACAGATATTTGAACACTCATGTCCACAGTAGCATTATTCACAGTAGCCTAAAGTTGGAAGCAACCCAAGTGTCCATTATGGAGGAGAGAGTAAGAAAAATGTGGTCTATACATACAATGGAATATTATCCAGCATTAAAAAGGACATTCTGACACATGTTACAAAATAAATGGACCTTGAAAACACTACACTAAGTGAAATTAGCCAGTCACAAAAGGACAAAAATTTTATGATTCCACTTAAATGGAGGTAGTCAAATTCAGAGACAGAATGTTCCAGAGGATAGGGGGAGAGGAGAATGAGAGGTTATTATTTCATTTTCAGCTGGAGATTAAAAAGTTCTGTATGGTAGTGATAGTTGCACAAGACAAATGTACCTTGAAATGTTCACTTAAAATGGTCAAAGAAACAAACCCCATCATAAACAATGGTAGAACATGTAAGTGGAATATCAAAATTTAGAATTTGGAAAGGATAACTGAAAGATGGCAAAGAAGTTTAAATGAAGCATAGGAATTTGAATCTCCACAGAATAAAATCATCCCAAGAGAGAAGCCTTAGGAAGAAAAGGATAGATCTAAGCTGGCTGCAGTGGCACTACTGTACTCCCAGGTACTCCAGTAGCCAAAGCTACTTGGGAGGTGAGACAGGAGGATTGCAAGTCTGAGGCCAGCCTGGGCAACTTAGCGAGACCCTGTCTCAAATAAAATTTTCATATGGCTGGCTATGCACCTTGTGGTAAAGTACCTCTGGGTTCACTCCCGACTTCCACAAAAAGAAAGAAGGGGCTGGGGGTGGAGAAGATGATTCCAAGGATATGCCTACTTTTAGGAAGCAAAAAGAACAAGTGAGAGATCTGGGAGGTTGCAGCAGCACAGCATCTGAAAGATCAGTCTCCAAAGAAGGTAGCCCCAACTGCTAGGTGCTACAGAGAGGATCTGAGGGCTGAGAATGGATCTGATTGAGGCTGCCTGTAAGCAAGACACTAGCTCTAGAAAGGTAGTAGGGAGTCAACCCACAGGAGATGGCAGTAGGAGGGAAAAGACTTTTTTTAATAGAGGGAGATTGGATGAAGGTAGAGAAAGAAACATTTAAATGGAGGAAACTGGACCATCACTTATACTGAAGGAAGAATCCAAGGAAAATGAGTCTAGAATCCAAAGCATAATTGAGCCTAAATGTTGGTTAGGGGCATGTTATTAGGAGAAAGAAGAGATTTGGAGAAGCGTGAGTGCGCGCGCACGCGCGCGCGCACACACACACTCGGCTTCCCTTCTTTAGCCTTCCTGCTAAGTGAACCAGCAGGGTTTAGGAGTTTGTTAGAGAAGCTCATCTGAAGCCAGTCCCCAGACATGGTGAAATCAAGTAAGATCCTGATGACACAAGTTTTGACTCACTATTCTGCACAATGGTTTATGTTTGACCGCACAATAAAATGACCTGGGGCAACTTTAAAAAAATCCTGAAGCCCAAGCTGCACCCAGATCAATACAACCCTAGTATGTTGAGTTAGGGCATCTGATAACCCTTAATGAGACAACCTAAACTGGCAATCATTGGTAAGTGTGGCAAAGTTATTAAGTTTGTTGAATAAATTGCAATAGCAGGAGTTACCACAGCAAGCAAAGAGAAGATTGTCAAACAGCACAAGACTGCAATACGCACTTATTCTAGGATAGGGCTGGTCTGTTAGCTTTAGATTCCCCAAAGCCCCTGGCAGTGCAGAAAAGGGGACAGAGAAAGCACAACTAGGAATGAGATTTGATGGGCAGAAAGGGATATCCCAGAGGTCAGATCAGCATGCCAGGTAGGGCTGGGGCGGGGCAGACAACAAGGGAATTCCTCAACTTTATAGTCCTTCTCTTACATTCCCTATGTGTGTAATAGAGGTATAACCATTACCTTTATTTCATGTTCACCAGCAGACTATGGGGTGAATTTCCTATTTTAATCAGAAGGTGGCTGGCTGTGCCATCCATCAGGTTTGAATGATATATTCAGGTCAGAGGAGGTGTGCTTGAGGTCTAAAATGCATGTGTCAGGCATTCCCACAGGTCTGTGCTCTGTGTGTGCATTTCTAACTGTGTGTGACAACAGGTAGCTGAGCCCCTTCCTCATCAGTCTGATTAAGCAGATCTAAGTGATGCCACAACTCGCATTTCCAAGTTCCTAGGTAAGTCGTTGCTGCAGGTCCAGGACTACATTTTGATCAGTAATGTGACCACAAGAAGCTAATGGAGTTGAGGTGATCACTTCTCCCACCACCACATCTCTCAAGTTCCAGTTCTGCACACCTATGCCACGTCTCTGGCAAATGTTTCTTTAGAATTGCACAAAGTATCAAAATTACTGATGGTTCAATGTTCTGAATTATGTCATTGTCACTTTAGGCTCACCTTGTGAGGGGCAAGAATGAGGAATGAGAATGCTGCTTGGAATAAGCTATATAGATGCAGTCCCCACACAGCTGAGAGCCTGGCTCCTCAAGTCTGGTCTGGAGGTCTGCCCAAATTAAATGGTCTGAGACCACCAACACTTGGCCTTCCTGCTACAATTAAATTGCACGAAGTGAACAAAGACATTGTTCCTTAATCTACTATTTTAGCTAAGCAGTGTACTCCTTCCAGCACCTTACTGTTATCCAGACTTTCTGTATCCTGTATTTTTTTCTATTATAATACAGAAAAATAATAGAGTGAAGGAACCTATCTTTCCCCCCTTTGTATTATTAGCAGACAGGCAATGTGCCAGACACTTGGTGTATATTTACTTTTTAATAGTCTGCGCTCTGTATGCATGGGTCCTACACCTGTACATTAAACAAACTGTGACCAAAATGCATTTGTACTGATCATGTTCAGATTTTTCCTTGTCATTAGTTCCCAAATAATAAAGTGTAACAACTATTTATAAACTACATGTACTGAGAAAGAGTTGTACTTACTGAAAACTTGATTGTTAAGTTAGTCAATCTTCATCTTAGTTCTTGGGATACTCCCAGGCCAGGCTTCACTTGGATCTTGTCTTTGCCTTCCTACTAAAGACTCAATTCCTTCCCAAAGCTAAAACCCTGGATACAATCCAAGGAACTGGCTCCACTGCTTTTTAAAACTTCTGTCCAACTTTAACTGGTTAGAATAGGGCGACTCATCCTTGTCATATGCTGTGCAGAACGAGGTTTAAGTCCAAGATTCTAGGAGCAAGTTGTGGTTTTCCAAATCTGAAGACGTCTCCAGAGCACCTGAATTAATATGCGTGTCATGGAGGCAGAAGGGGGGTAGGGTTCTAGCAACACAATAGACAAACCTAGGGATTTTCCAGCTGCCTTCTTGGCAAGTATTTCTCAGTCTGTTTTGCACTGAAGGTTTTTTCCTAAAATTGACTAAGGAAACCAGAGGAGCCTTGCTAGCAGAAAAGGGGCTACAACAAATGCACAAATGTTGTCCTTTTGAAAATTCAAGGGAAAACTGTGGGGCCAGGCAAACAGACCTGCAGTGCCAAGCTATGCAGAGGGTGTGGGGGTTGAGGTCTGTGAAAGCCGTCCTGAGAACAGGCGGTTGCAGCATAGATGCTTACAGCTCTGTCATCTCTATGGCAGGGCTGGAGAGAATCCAACCGCCTGGGAGAAAAGGGCCAGCTGCCTTCCTGCCAAAGGCATCTCTTGCATAACAACTTCATGCCACAGGCCATTCACCTCAGAGTATTCCAGGACCAAGGGTAGCCTCTGAAAGAGCCTGCCTGGGTTATTTTGTCAATTCAGTAGTGCTCCTAGATAATATAGAATGCCTGGATAGGGGCTGCCTATTGATAAAATTAAGATGTCTTTCCTCCTAATAACAGGAATTTGTTTAGACACTAGTCTTTAATAAGAAGCACTTTTGGATGTCTCCAAATGTTGAAATGGAAAGGTGATCAGAATTTTGAGACCAAAACACCATGAGCAATTACAGCTTCTGTTCTTCCCCAAATCTCACCACACTGGCTTTCTTTTTATGTTCCAATATTAAGAAGGCCACTCATGGTGTAGGCTTTGTGCAAAATGTTACCCATGGAGCTTAACAAGTGTTAATGTCAAATAATAATTCCAAAAACTGAGGAAGATCATCTCCACCTACTATATTAAAATTTTGAAACCTAGTTGACTAATGAAAGATACAATATTAAAGCTTATCATTAACTGTCAACAGTTTCTGGCTTTCTTTGGAGGAATTTATTTCATGGCAGGAGGAATTCCACTAGAGAATACAAAAGTAGGAAAGCAAAGTTTACATGTGTTTTAAGGGTGTGACACTAATGTGCAGAGGGAATAGAGGTGTTCAGGGCGTCTCAGCCAGTGATGAGCATGGAAGTGAACAGAGCCAGGCCAGAGCAAAAGTTCCACTTGCCCTGCTCTTCCAATGCAGAGAGAAACATTAAGAATATCAAGTGAGATTAAAGAAATTGATCAACATCGTATGTCAGATGTGGGACTTCCTAATGACTTCAAGGCTGAAATTTTTGTTTCAAAAATTATGTGAGATGCAACTCCTTAGTTAGAAAATATGGTTACTTCCTTTCTCTGCACCTGCATCCCAGCAGAAAGCCTCCCGTAAACTGGAAAAATAAAACAAAACTGGGCAAATATAAAAGCATCTGCTTACTCATGCTGGTAGCTCCCACTTCTGGCCACTTATAGTTCCCTGAGGGCTTCAGGCTAGAGCTGCTCATTGGCTCCCCATTATCAAGTCAGATCTGTTGCTCCCTTCCTTCACCCCTAATTCTGTAAGGAGATTAAAATTAATACAGCACATGTACATAACTTTGCTGGAGGCGATGTGAGGGTGGTGTGTGAAAGCACCTAATGGATGTTTATAGAACCAGCTCCAATGAGCATTTTTGTTCCTGAGGTTGTTTGGAAATCTTCAGGTGGTTTTAAGCTCTGTGCAGAGAATGCACCACTATCACCTACAGTGGGCCCACGCCCACACCCAATCTCTTCTTGGATTCTTAACGAATCAGAATTGAGATGTAGGACAGCACTGTGGAGTGATGGCATTGTGGCCTGATTCAAACCTCTGTCATGATAGGAGTCTGAATTTGTCCTGATGATAAAAGTGACACATGGACACACACCAGAGCTTTGCTATTTTAAGAATGTACTTTATACAAAATAACCAGTTCATATGGAAATAAATCTACAGACCTCCAAGGATCAAAAAGCTTTTTAAAAAGTTCCTTTAAAAAATTATCCAACACACAATATTGAACTAACTATTGAGGTAAATGTCGCTCTCAGTCAAACAGGGAATCAATCAGCAGACCACGACAAAATATACACAATATAAAAATAAATAGTATTCCCCTTTCCAGTACTGGCCAGGGAAGTTCACACGGCTTTCGCTTTCACAGCGGGAGCAAAGACTGCCCGACACTGCGCAGCAGGCTGGTGGAGCCTGGATGGGACTCCCAGGCATGTGAGTGAGGTACCCAAGACCCCGCTGGGGAAAAGAAGGGGCCACAGTCTACTGACGAGAGGTCAGTGTTTGAATAACTTACTCAATATCCACACCCCTGTTCCCAACCCACCCAACCCTTTCAAAAACACATGCAGGACAATTGCTGGTTATCAGGCATTTCTACTTAAGAGTTAAGTGAGAACAAGAGAAAGAGACCAGGTAAAAAGTCCAACCCAAGCCCCTCCATGTGTGTCTAGCACAGAGAGGATTCATCATCCAGCCAGGAGACAAAGCTTGTGTCACAGTTAACTGAGAGAGAGGGAATGCAGCAAAGTTCACCCCAATTCAGCTTTCCCAAAGGGATAGAAAGGTAAGGCTCAGAGTCCTACGGCGGAATGGTGGGTTGGCCCACTGAAACAAGAAAGGGGAGCCAGTCTTCTCACCTAGCAAGTCTCAATTACACCTGTAGTTCCTAAGCAGTGATGCAAGCCCAGGAATAAACACCCCCACATGCACAACCCAAATTCTAACATCCTGGCAGAATCTGTCAAACAAAGAGCTATGTGCTGAGACATCATATCCTGGAAACATCCAAGACTGAACTCTACACTGATACATGGAACTGATTCCCACAATAGGAGTCCCTGAAGAATCTGGCCAAGGGGTGAACTAAGAGAGAAACACAGAAGGGGAAATCATGCTAGCAAACCAGATGGCTTGCATTTCTTGAAAAATAGAGTTTCTTGGAAACATGCCAGGAATCTGACACGAAATTATCCTTGCCTTCGGACTCTAAATTGAGGCTTCCTGTGAAATTTCAAATTAGGTCTTAAAAGCAGTATATTATTTGCAGAAATGGTAATAACAACATGTCAGAAAAACATCACAGGATAATGATACCAAATGGTTAGTCACAAGAAGCACTTTCAAGGGAAAGGCTAGAGTAAACTGACATTTAAAGCTGAGCTCAGACTGAATGTAGACTAAAGGCCTTAAGGTTTTCCACAAACTTCAATAAAACAAAATCATACATAACCTAGAAACCTTCCAAAGGCCCTAATTTTCTTTCTGGATCTTTTATTTCTCTTAGGCCTTGGAGAAACAGTTTGTAACTTATAAACAAGCCTAATAAAGTTAAGTCATGAGGGTTAAACAGGAGCAAGGGTATTTCTAATTATTCATAGGTCTCAGGTATGCTCTCCTGGAGACCACTGAGAGTAGTCACACTGACAAGGTGACAGTGGCCTACAAGGTGAAGTGTCCAAGCCTAAACCTTTTAGGACACCCATACACATGCTTTTCTAACTATCATATAACCATCATATAACCATCATTTCCCTATTTGAAAAGATGGCAAATGTATTTGCATCTGTTTTAAGACATTGCATCTACTTAAGACACTTGGAAAGTGAAGTGCTAGAGGAGGAAGAAAGGCGAGAACAAAAGATCCTGCTTGCGGGTGAGTTGATGAGGAGTTCACAGCAGCTCAGTCATGTGTTTTCCCACAGTCTGGCAGTTGTGGGCAGCTTTCAGCAGATCTGCATTTCAGAAACCTGTAAAAGCTGGGAACATACCAGATAAGGGATGAAGCACTTAGCCCTGTAATGTACAACCAATTTCCACAAAGGATGCAACAAGGCTGACCATTTCACTGATGCTCTTGTTCACAGTGTTATAATTCAATACAGTAGTTCAATTTCTATAGCCCTTCCTTAAATTCTCTTCCTTAAATTCTCTCATCTCTAAAAAAGGAGATTAAAAGGTTTTACTACAGACACCCTCCCCTCCACTGTTCACAGCATCTCTCTAGCAACAGGTATTTGGAAGTGGGGAAAGAAGGAGGATGGTCACCTCAAGCAGCATGCTTAACACCGTGGCAGAGGCCCTATAGTGACCACAATCCTAAAGAGAAGTCAGAATGCTCTGAGCCCAGACCAGGCCTAACCAGCCCCACACCAATTAATTCTCCTCCTTCCTGTTTTTGCAAACACAGAAACTGAAGTCGTAATTTTTTGACCATGTTAGTTTACATAAGCTCAAGGACAGATTGAAGCCCATCCACATATCTTCTAACTTCTTGACTCTTCTTAGTGCTAGATTTCTGATAAGTATAAGGATCAAATTAGAACTCAACCTCATGATGCAATCCACTTGCAAACATACCACAGTTAAACTGAAAGTCTGTTAAAGAAAAGTTGGTGTTTTTTTGCATCATATATCAGAGGCATCTGTGTTCTGTCCCCTCGCACCCTCAACTCTGCCTAAGCCCTAATCAACACCACCAGCTTAGTTCACTTACTGATATGAATTTCCATTCTACTAGATGTCTTCGATTCAGTCTCTTTAACCTGAATGTTTCCAATCTGTTTCCTTTCCCTCTGAGCACACTGTTTAGCAAACTATAAATACTACAGTTTTATCAAAGCTGCTGAAACTGAAGGGAAAGGCTCTACTGACTCCACCCACAAGTGAATACATAAGAAACTAGGACAGATTAATATTTTATGAAGACTCTTCTATTATCCTCAAAGCATGCTTAAATTATGCTATTCTTTACAAAGACCTGTAATTTCAGGGTGTTTTCTTAGTTTTTTTCTTTATGGGATATTCATGGGTCCTAACTTTGGTGACATCTCAGCTAACATAAAATACAGAATGCTAAACACGAGAAATCCAGTGTAACTCCTAAAACTGTAATAAAAGTAATTTAATACTGTAAAATTGTTTCCTACCTCAGATAACAACAAATGATTTCCAAGAACCTGTCCTTGATAGCTATTTAAAATCACAATGGCTGATTTTACTATGATTCATTTAAAATGAGTAAAAACTATATATACTGAAATATTCCTAAATTCAAACTGTAACACTATAGAATACATATTCTCTATTCAGACCTGTGCAATTTCTTTATTGAGACTAACATATACAAACCTGAGTAGTCACTTTCACAAAACGTGATTTGTGCCAGAAAGCTTGTGTAATGCCTTCTAGATCACAGCCCGACAAGCCTGTGAAGATGTTCATTTGTCTTCTAATGAGTAAAGCACTCTAGTGATCCCAATTCCTGATAATGGTTTGCAGCTATCTTGTAGGGCTGGAGGCAAATCAGGAAGGGACACCATTTTCCCAAGGCCAAGATTTGGGCCACCAGAGTGAAAGGAGCCTGTCGTCTCGGTTGAAGCTTCCGGTGGGCCACAGGAGAGCACTCTGTCCCCAAACTAAGAAACGAACAATAAGGAGGACAGGTACAACTACACTCTCTGAGGTTGACTGGAAAGAAGGTCTTTAGTTGTGAAGGGCCAGTCAGCCACCATGGAAACAGTTATTGACATATGACAAGTTGAAGCCTTTCCTACCCTCTTCTCCAGCTCCCCAAAGCATTGAGTGTGACATGATTGTAAACAGACAGAGACCACTCCAGTGCTGTGAGCCCACCAGTTAGGACTTCCATTTCTTTCACATTCCCACCCACCCTACCCACTTTATGTACAATACATTCACCAACAAAAATTATTTTAAAAGGCAACATGAAAATTGTGTAAACTGGACCCAGCTCTGAAAACATTAATACTACAAGTAGTCCCTTCCTCAATATATACCTGAGATTAGCTGCTCACGAAAGTTTAAAAGCACCACTCTGTTATTTTGTATGCCCCCCACCCAAGTTTAAAGTGATTTTCCCTGAAGGACAGTCTCAGAATTTGGAGAAGTCAGCATGAACTCCAGGTTCACTTGATCTTCCTGACTGTCAGTCAGCTGTGCAAGTGATCCCTGACCCAGCACCTCTGCAAGCTCTGTGTCAGTCGTCTATGGAGTGAGTATGCTTCTAAGGCCCAGGAATGGCTCCAGCTCTTGGTGGCAAGGTGTAATTCACTGTGAAGGGGCACAGCAGGGTGACTGGGATAGAGATGGGCAAGGATCATTTCCCCAAATCCTCCATGTTCTGTCTTCATGTGCAGCTTTTCACTTCCTTGGGGGCAATTTCCTCCTAGGACTAGCTCTGAGAGGAATAGAATAAAGACATTTATAAGAAAAAAATTTTAAATTGTATCAATTGTCTAAGAAAATTAAACATATCAAAGAGTTGTATGTGCTTGCCTACACAGCTACAGAGGGTTGACTTTCAGGTACTAGATCTCTGATTTGGACCTGAGCCCCTATACTTAGAAGCTATAGAACTTTGTGCATACTAGAAGGTGCTACTACAGCTGCTCAGTTTCTTTATGGGGCCACAGATAAGATTGAGATAGTTTTTGCACACACAAACTCTCAGCAGTGTGTGAGAGAGAAGCAGCACTCAAAGGTAGCCACAATTATTCAAAACCTGACTGACCAGTCTCACACAAAGGAATAGGTGGGAAGGATTAAACAGGCAATTTTTGGCAAAAGAAATGTGGGAAGGCAGTGTGGAAAAATTGATACTCCTTAAATAAATACTCCTTAAACAGCTGGTTACCACACAAGATTATGAAAGAGGGGTATGTGGAAATAGTAGATAAGCAACATCTGAGGACTCTGTAGCCAATCTTCCCCAATGCCAAGGACTGGGATCAGGGCCTGAGTGATTTGTTTCACATGGCTGCCTATTGTAAATGAATTAACAAGACACCTTAAAATATTTTCTCAGGAGCGGGGTGTAGTGGCACATGCCTGTAATTCTAACAGCTTGGGAGGCTAAAGCAGGAGGATTGCTTGAATTCAGGGCCATCCTTATTGGCTACTTCACGAGGCCCTAAGCAACTCATCAAGACCCTAAGTGCCCCTGGGTTCAATCCTTGGTATCAAAAACAAAACAAAACAAAACAAAAAACACAACACTCAGGGACTGGGAATACAAATCAGTGTTAGAATGCTTTTCTAACTGCGGGAGGCCCTGGGTTCTATTATCAACATGGCAAAAAGGAAATAATTTTTAAAAATGCAGTCTCAGAATGGCAATGAGACCATGTGCAGATTGAGGATCCTTAATATGAAAGGCTCTAAGCTCCAAAGTTTTTTTTTTTTTTTTTCAGTGTGTGCTAGGGAGCAAACCCAAACTTTGCACATGATAAGCAAGTGCTATCACTGAGCTATATGCCAGGATGAAATTAAAAAGAAAATGGACATAATGCTGAAAGTTTTATATTTTGGAGCACCTTGGATTAGTCATGCCTAACTGGTAAACCCTATGCAAATATTCCAAAATCTGAAAAACTCTGAACTTGGGACTTTGGGTCCCAAGCATTTTGCAGAAGGGATATGAAAGTCATTATATATTTCCCACATTTTGAGGAATAAGAAAAGCTATGAATTTTGGTGATTCTTACCTGATCCAGAGGAAGTGTTGGGGGCTTATGTGGTGGCAGCTGTTCTGGTGATGCTGCTGGTGCTGGGGTCTTTGGGAATGAGGACTGCGACTGGATTGGATGTATGTGCATTCTGTAGCCACAGGAAAAGAACAGGTAAAAATTAATGAAGATGTATTAATTACAAAGGAAAACATACTTTAATCATGAAGGGATGGCTTAATTACCCAGGTGATCCAACTTGGAATCATCAATAATGGGACAAAATGACATTATATATATCTGAGCATAACATAATAGGAAGTACACCCATGAGAAGCATATTCCTGACAAAAGTGATTCATCCTTTTTTTTTTTTTTTTTGGTACCAGGGATTGAACTCAGGGGCACTTGGCCACTAAGCCACATCCCCAGCCCAATTTTGTATTTTATTTAGAGACAGGGTCTCTAAATAAAGAGACAGAGTTGCTTAGTGCCTCAGCATTGCTAAGGCTGGCTTTGAACTTGTGATCCTCCTGCCTCAGTCTCCTGAGCCACTAGGATTACAGGTATATGCCACTGCACCAGGCTCCAAGGAAAAATTTCTAAGGTCTACATTATTTAACAAGATATCCCTCTTTGTAGACTTCTTCACACACCGGCTATGTGATTAATCTTAAAAAAGGAAATACTGACTTGAATCCAGAATCTGGGACACACTACACAAGGCCTGGACTCTTTGAAAAACAAAACAAAGACAGCATAATCGTCATAAATTAAGAAACCAAACAAACATAAATACATAAGCCTTGGTTGGATCCTGGTTCAGAAACAAAACAAAATAAGATGTATAAAGCAAATACGGCAAAATGTGAATAGGGAGAGAGGGTGTAATGATAAGAAGATGGTTGGGGAGAGGGGCACACTGGTTTTTAAGTTGAAAGGTACTAGTTTAATAACTATACTTCATAACTTCAAGTGCCCATATTTTATACATCATTTATTTTGAAATGTTCCCAGATGACATATCACCTCACTGAGCCGTCCTGCAACTCCTGTTGGGGTTTAAACCAAAGACTTCACAAATAGTAGGCAACTCTCTATTACTGAGCTACATCCCCAGCCCTCAATGGGTTTTAAAAGTGGTACCAATACAAATATATTGAGGAAGTCTTAGGAGAGAGTATCTGACTTGTTTCAATTCTGGATAGACCTGGAACTTTAACATCACACATGTTTAACTTCCTCTGATAGGCATAGTTTAACATTTGTTATTCTTTTAGAGAATAAGAAAAACATTCAACACATTCTTACCCTGATGGTCTGTACATTTCCTGGAAGGATCCTCTTATTCCACTTCCAGTGCCAATCTGTTCCATCATTACTGCTTGAAAGTGGCCCAGGCCCTCTTCCTGGCAGCGATAGAGAGAACCCTCTTGAGAGAGGCCATTAGGCTGGGCAGGCCCTGGATGGTGGGGTGGGTGAGCACCCACAGGAGAATATGGCCTGGGTTGAAAATGACTGGTTGGCCGCTGTGGTGTATAAGAAGGCCCCGTTTGTAGCATCATACCATGAGGTGGGAAAGGAGGTGAACCAAATCCCATCCCTGAACTCAGAGGTGTAGGAGGAGTTCCATAAATATATTCGTTGGCTGACAAAGAACTCTGTAGCTTGGTAGCTGCATTATGGTTGTCCAGATCTAAAAACTCTTTGGGACTCTCTGGCCTCTCCATAGATTCATCAAGCTTTTCTTCCTCTGGACCAGGATTCTGTCTGTCAGGTGGGACAACTTTAGCAGCCACTGCATCCATTCGAGTTGGGGAAGTTAAGGCAGCACTCAGTGTCTCACAGCTTTGCAGATTAGCCATGGAATTTTTATCTGAGAAAAGGGGCCGTGGGTGAGGGGCATGACTTGCTGGGGGGCCACCTGGGTTTCCCTGAGGGTGGAGAGGTCTCTGCCAATCAGAAAAGCCCTGTGGACAAGTGTAATAAGGAGTTCGCTGGTAATGATGGTAGGAAGGCTGTGGAGGTGGTGGTTGGTAGGAATACCTCATTCCCTGGGGAGGGCGATATCGGGGAAAGATCCCAGGGTGAGGATTGTTAGACTGAAAGGCCCTGGGAGAGAAATGCTGAGGATGCGATACCGAGGATTTCCCCCCCATCATAGGGCCCAAGGCTTGCAGGCTTGGACTGATGTGGTAATGTGCAGCTGAATTAGAGTATTCTAGGCCAGGCATGTACAAGGGAGAAAACTGGCTTACAGGGCTTGTCATTAAACTGGGGTCTGCACATGGAGGTGTAGTTGCATTCTGTCCTGTGCAGGGCATGGTCTCCTGCAATGTTTTGCCTCTGGGGCAGACTGGTTTTTCTGAACCATTGCCACCAAGGCCCTTCCCCTCTGATCCACAAGGAGATGCTTCACCAATGACTCCATTTTCAGGAAGAACGCCTCTGTCGGCCATTGTGGAGAGGTCTCTCATACAGCCTTGGGCAGCTGGGCTGGTATAGCTGCTGTCTGAGGTCCAGGTATTCTTGCCCTTTGCTGTTTTACAGTTGTCTGCAGATTCCAATGTGTCATTTTTGAGCTCTGTGGCCTCTGTTTCCCTTTCTCTTGGTGAGCTCTGCCTGGTGCAGTCGGCCTGCAGGGGAGGTGTAGGTTGAGGTAGCTGTTTAAGGTATACCCCCTCTGAAGCACCAACGCTTGCTGGTTTCTCTTCAAGTCCAGGCAAAGCTTCTCCTGGGGGGAAAAAACAAAAAGGAGAACAAAATAACTAAGTAGCTGCAATGACAATACGAATGGAGGTAGTTATAAAAAGTATGCAAAATAAGGAAGATCAGGGTTGAGGTGAGGACAGCAATTCAAGCCTCAGCTAGCTAGCATTAGTCCCTGGAAAAGGTCAGGATATCGGGGATCTATATGCTCCCTTTCATGGACTTACAGGTAGAATCTAACATTAAGGTATGCACCAGGGCTGGGGATGTGGCTCAAGTGGTAGCGTGCTTGCCTGGCATGCGTGAGGCCCGAGTTCGATCCTTAGCACCACAAACAAACAAAGATGTTGTGTCTGCCAAAAACTAAAAAATAAATATTAAAAAAAAAAAAAAAAAAAAAAGGTATGCACCAAAATGGAAATACCCCACATCATAGGCACATTACTGAGAGAATATGGAGCTTACAGACTCCAGGCAGATGTATGTGAACTATGGAAGGAGAACGTGGTAATAATTAGAATGGGTACCCAGGTGAGAGGTTCTAGAAACGGACACAATGTATAGGTCCAATGCATGAGATACCCAGTGCTCAAACAAAAGGTGGAGCATGCTGAGCACACTCTGAGCAACAACCCATCCCTTTTTTCGAACAAGAGGCCCACATCAAAAAAACTCGAAAGGCATTCTTTGAATATTAGAGAAATTGAATAAATTCAATCAAATTAGTCTTGAATGCTCAATTACACCCCAGATTGTTTACCTCACTATGGTAGCAAACCATTAACATGATGAATAACAGAGGAACTTTGTTTTTATATACACACACATACATATCTGATCATGATATTTCTAGGACAGAGTTGTTGTCCAAGCAAGATCAAAATCTGATTCTAAAAAACAAACTTTTTTTTTTTTAAAAAATATTTATTTATTTTTTTTAGTTTTCAGTGGACACAACATCCTTGTTTGTATGTGGTGCTGAGGATCGAACCCGGGCCGCACGCATGCCAGGCGAGCGTGCTACCGCTTGAGCCACATCCCCAGCCCCTAAAAAACAAACTTTTAAAGGACAAGATTAAAGATTCATATTGACTTTTTTTTAAAATTTGTACTAGGGATTGAACTCAGGGGCACTCAACCACTAAGCCACATCCCCAGCCCTATTTTATTTATTATCTTTATTTAGAGAAAGGGTCTGAGTTGTTTAGCACCTTGCCATTGCTGAGGCTGGCACTGAATTTGTGATGCTCCTGTCTCAACCTCCTGAGCTGCTGGGATTACAGGCCTGTGTCACTGCACCCATCTCATAATGACTGTGTGTGTATTGGAGAGGGAGTGGGGTGGGTGCTGGGGACTGAACCCAGGGCCTTATGTATGCAAGGCAAGCACTCTACCAACTGAGCTATATTCCCAGCCCCATAATGACTTATAAAGAACTACTAAGATGCCTAAGGCTATCAGTGAACTAAAGCTGGCCTTAAGGAAAAAAGATACAAACTGAGCAACAAAATAAAAAAAATTATACTTTTTATTAACACAAAGCTCAGCAACTAGTGGACAGACTGTATCTAAAGTGTCATGAATGATACTATTTCAAACCTTTGACTTGCAGACACACCTGAAACCTGTATTAGAAAATTCGTCTGTAGCTATTCACAAAGTGGACCTTTTCTAGAAGGAAATGCTCAAAGTTAAGTTTGAGTTCTAGCCCTAGCATCAATGTCCCATGAACTTTTCATCAGCTTTTTATGAATGTTCAAGTATCTCCACCCTCTACTCACATCTGAAGAAAATTACAAAAATGTATACTACACTTCTACCCTTGAAGTCAGCATTAAGTACACAAAGGATTCTGATTCTTTTTAACTTTTCTTCTCTAGTTTACTCTTTACTTCTCTTAAATGGCATTTCTAAGAAACTGTTTCAAGCTTTGCTAGAACTCACTGTGCTTCATTTTTACTACATACAGGCATGTATCTAAGGAGAGGATAGAAATGATTAGACACTGAAACTTATTTCATAATGGTGACTTTCCAGATAGTTTTTTTGAAGGATATGAGAGATGCAGTAGATAACAGGAAGAATGTTTATCTAGCCTTGTCAGGGTTCAAATCTTTCTTTATCACTTAAGACAGTAAATAATCTAGTATTTCTGAATTAAATTTTCCATCTATAAAAATAAGGATATTAATAGTAGATATTACAAAGGCTTTTTCTGAGAATTAAATGATTACAAATCAAAGTCTCAAAAAGAATGTCACACAGGAAGCACCTATAAGTGTGATGATCATTATTATCATGCTGAGATCTTCAGACCAAAAGGAATACTATGATTGGTTCAAACTTAAGTAGCTTAGGAAAGAGACTGGAAATGTGTTTACATATGGTTTCATATTGTGTGTGAAAAGATTACTCATAATTTACAGCTTAAAAACCCAAAAGTCAGATAAAAGTAACAATATATACATTACCTTGGTCATTCTCAGGCTTTTGTGTTTCATTGTTATCCTGTATCCTCCCAGGGTTGCCCAAGGCAGGTTTGGGGGCTGACAAGCTTACTGATGCTGAATGAGCTACCTGTGGAAAAGGGCCAGGTACTTGGGAGGGAGTGGGTTGACAGGGGTTGTAAGGCACACCTGGTGGGCAGACACGGGAGGACAGCTGCTGCATGGCGATCATCTCAGGGCTGTCCATCATAGAGTCCCCTCCTTGCATCCCACGCAGGGTCTGGGAGGGCCCTCCAAATAGAGAACTTGGTGCTGGGGTTGGAGGTGGCTGCAACCTATGACCAGTGGACTTACAAGGTGGTCGCATATATCCTGAAGAAGGAACACCATGAGGTAGAAAGCTTGATTGCTTAGTCCACTGGTTTTGGGGTATAGATGGTCTCATTACTCGGGAATCCATCATGTGACCAAGAGCGTGAGGCTGGTGAGCGGGTCCTGGCCCGAGGTGGGGCTTCTCATCTGGCCCCAAAGGTCCTGGATTTGTAGTACCATGGTTCCCATTCCAGACGGTAGAGTGTACACGATTCAGGTACTTGTAGGATCGATACATGTGACTGGGAGGAATTTCTGAACTCTCAGCAAAGTCTGCTGGTCGGGTTGGAGCCCCACCATGCCTGGGAGGAATAAATCCTGGCTGGAATGAAGCTGGGGGATACATGTTTCCATCCTGACCAGGGCCACTCATCTGTCCAAGCTGCAAGGAGGCGGGATGTGATCCCATGTTAGAAAGGTGTGTTAGCCCCCCACACATCTGCTTATCTTCTGGAGTGCCAAGCTGGGGTCCTCGGTGGTTACTAATTCCAACTGGAGGCTGGCAACAGAAAAAATAAAGTGAGCAAAGTTAACCAGTCACTTGTAACATGCTTCACCTATAGAGACAGTCTCTTCTGCACAGAAGATAATTAATTAAATTTAACCTGAGAAGACACTATTTCTGAAACATGCTGTGGGACCTGTAGCAGCTATGGTTTCTGAGGTGACTCCTTACCTGCATGGAAAAAGCCTGATGCTGCTGCATGGGCTCTCCTGGGTGTGCTTCTGGGACTCGAGAGGGACCATAGAAGGTGTTGGGCTCTGATCCTTGAAGAGGGCCAAATGCTCCTGGTACTGCTGGCCTCTGGAGGCAGTGAGCAAAGGGAGGGAAGAAAAAAATAGACAAGGATATTAAGCACAGAGCAAGGAGTTCCCTAAAGTTTGCTAGTGTACATACTTCCCTAGAGTGAACTAGCTCCTGACCCTAAAGCAGGTTCCCTCTCCAACAGAGTAAAATTAAAATGGTGTCTCTTGCCAGGTATTCATGTCTATTAATGTGAGTTACTTGGGAAGTTGAGGCAGGAGGATCACAAGTTTGAGGCCAGCTGGGATAACTTGGTAAGACCCTGTTTCAAAACTCAAAAAGGGCTGGGGATATAGCTTAGAGGTAGAGTGCCCCCAGGTGCAATCCTCAGTGCCACAAAACAAAAACAAAATGTTATTTTACCATCTTTTAAAATTACATCCTTTTTGCCCCTGTACAGAGCTTTTTTACCCATTTCATCTCCCATTGCACCCTGTCATAAGATTTTAACATCTCAGATACACTGCATAGCTTATGTACTTCTGTGCTTTAACCTTTCTCCCTCCATCCTTCTGTCTCTTCCATGAAGTCTTCCTATGTTGCCCAGGCTGGTCTTGAACTCCTGGGTTCAAACAATCCTCTTGCTTCAGCCTCCTAGTAGCTGGGAAAACAGGCATATACCACCATGCCTAGTCTTTTTAAAATCTGTTTTTGCTCACACTGAGAATATGTGATTCAAATGACTAAAAGAGAAGAGGATTTGAAATAAATTCAATGGGGCAGGGCGGGGGAGATCATCCATATAATTACTTTGTAAGAAGTGCGAAATGGATAGCCCTTACTTTCCCATGAGTTCACTAGCTTGGAGAAATCATCACAAAAGTTTAGCTCTTCCTTACCATTTGGTTTAAAAGAGGTGCTTGGCTGGGCATTCCACCACAGTGCACAGGGCGGGAAAAACCTCGGCCATTTGAAGTGCCCACTTCTCGAGGGGGCTGAGTAGAACTGCTGCTCTGATCATCCCCTGAAGAAGAAGCTCGGCGTGCAGGGGGCAATGATTTTCCTCCATTTTCCATGGGCTGCTGCTTCCTGCTGGGCCCTTCAGAGTCCCTAGAGCGGGTCCAAATATGGCTTCCACTATTACGACCAGACCGACTCCGTCTCTTCTCCCGCTTTTCATCCTCTCGGATCCAAAATTCTTCATCCGTGTCTCCATCTTCTCCAGGAAAATGTTTCATCATTGCCCGATGGAAACATCTCTCTAAATTATCAGACATCTTGGTATACTCTATAAGGAACAGACGAGGACTAACTACCACGTATAGATTTTATAGGTCACAAAAGATAATTCTTGGGCTGGGGATGTGGCTCAAGTGGTAGCGCGCTTGCCTGGCATGCGCGCGGCACTGGGTTCGATCCTCAGCACCACATACAAATAAAATAAAGATGTTGTGTCCACAGAAAACTAAAAAAAAAAAAAACTACATCTTTAAAAAAAAAAAAAAAAAAAACAAAATTCTTCCACTAACAATAAAAACTGCAACTATTTGTTCCAACTCATTTTGGGGGCATATTCTGTAGAGCTATGACTAGAAGATGAGTAAGAGATGGCTTCTACCCATAAAAAGCTCAAAGTTGTATGGCTAATTACCTCAAACCATTGAAAATTTAATTTTTAAAGCTAAATTACTGAACTCATTAAATACAATCACTGAATCTTTTTTTTAAACTCTGGCATTGTTAATTAATTCATCAATAACCCAGTTTGAGTACCTGGAGCCATTTATTCTTTAGTATTAAATAGATACTATGCTGACTTCTCAAAATGACTTAAAAATGACAAGCTGGGGTGCAGCTCATTGGCAGAGTATGTGTCTAACATGTAAGAGGACCACATGCACAGGTTCCAACCCCAGTGCTATCCCCCTGCCCCCCCCCAAAAAAGAATGGGCTCCATCTAGGTTCTCCCCATTTGTGCTGAAGAGGACCAGGTAAACCTAGACTAGTCTCTAGAATGAGAAACAACCTAAGGCCATCTACTCTCCTGCTGAGCTCTGCTGTTCTATGGGAGAAAAGAGAGCTCCTGACACATATAGTGGAAATGCTTGTAGTAGCCATAGCTTTTAGTTTACATTCTGTTGATAGTTCTTAAAAAAAAAAAAAAAAAAAAATCACTAGGAAATGTGCGTCTAACAGAAGGAGTTTTAAAATCTGATTATATAATGGCATAACAGATATGCACCTGGCACAGATTTCTTACCCACTTACCACTATTCTCCCCATTATATTTTCGACAATTCCTGAACATTGTCTTCATGTCATTTACAAATTCATCCTTGGTACAGTATAAACCTCCATTCAATTTCTTCTCCATGCTTGAAATATCCATGGGGATCTAAAATAGAACAAGGAACTCTATTATAATCAACAATAACATATTATAGGAATAAACAACAACATGCTATAGTCCCTACAAGGCAAAAGAATAATGGCATTACAAGTTGTTCAAGAGCCTGGTGTATCTCCAGCAACCCTGATCTTAAGAATGACAGCTAGGCAAACAAACAATAAAGTACAAGCAAGACACAGAGGCTACCTTTATAATCTGATAATAATTAGGAGCATAAGATTCATCCACGGGTTCCAAAAATGGCCAGGAATCCTTGTGAGCCTTTACCACATCTAGAACTGAAAACCAAAGAAGAAAACTTGACTAATAACTCACAGCAAGACTTCCACCACAAACACAGTAGTTGAGAATGGGAACTAACCTTTATACATGGCAGTGAAGTCATCATCCAACTCAAAGCTGTAAATCATAAAATAAGACATTAGTATTCATTCTGACTACCTTCTCAACCTATCTTCAGTTTAACCATAGACATAGCTAAATGCACGAAGATCTTGAATAGTCTCAACACTATTATTTAATACAGATAACATTTGCTAAAAATAATATAAACATGGGAGATAATCCACCTTAGGAAAAAAGGGAATATCACTTTACTTATGTATAATATGATAGGGTATATGCAAATGATACAAAACTTTAAGATCCTACAATTTATTTAAGCAGGATTTATTCATGGCTCATAAATTTATTTGGGATCTAAATAATAATAATAATAATAATTAAAAAACACATAGCAGAATGGTTCATGAACACTATTCCTTTCCTTCTTGCATTTTTAGTTAAGGAGTAAAGATATACAGTACCTAGGATAACTACAAAGAAGTTACTTTTTAAAAAAATCTATATATTTTAAGTTGTAGATGGATACAGTATCTTTATTTTACTTTTATGTGGTACCAGGGATCAAATCCAGTATCTCATGCATACTAGGCAAGCACTCTACCACTGAGCCACAACACCAGCCCAGAAGCTATTATTCTCAAAAGTACAAACTTCTTTTCACATTTTCAAGAAACAATTGTATATAATAAATCATCAGTTATGATTTCATTAAGTTAATGAGTGGAGTACTAAGAGTTTTGTGTACAAGCATCTCTGTGCTTCTAGAGTATGACAGCAAAAAAATCTAAGAAGGGCAAATGAGCATTAAGAGACATTCAGCATCTCCATTTGTGTGGCACGAGGAGTGCTGAAGTCAGGTCTGAGTTTCAGGCTGACCTCTGTCTCTTACTGTGTTTTCTCAACTTTGAAATGGTGGTGCCATTGCCTACTACACAGCTCAGTTTTAAATACTAAATGAAAGGAGGGCTTGCTTATTAGCAAGGTGCAGTGCCAAGTGACATCACCGATATGATTAAATACTTACAGATCCTTTGTCTTTTTTCCTTCCCTCATGGGAGAATTAGGGTCCAGATGGGAAAGTTCTGGGGGTAGCTCCTTGCCTTGAGCCAGCAGCCATGCCCTTTCTTCCCTGAGTTTTCTCCTCTTGGCTCGATCTACAAGGAATAGTCAAATGAGCGTATGTGCTCACTCTTCCTGACACCTATGGTGCTCCGCATCCCACATCCCCACCTCACATATGCACAGAACAACCTCATTCACTTGACTTCAATGTCACATCTTCAGAGAATACTCATGATAATCTTATTTAAATGTTACTTCAATCATAGCAGTCTTTATTCATAGATCTGGTTTATTTTTATTCAGATAGCTCACCACTACCTATTCCAGTTTGTATGTATGTGTAGGGGCGTGTTTCCAGATTGAACCCAGGGGTGCTTAACCACTGAGCCACATCATCACCCCTTTTTCGAGACAGGGTCTCACTAAGTTGCTTAGAGCCTAGCTAAGCTGCTGGCTGGCTTTAATCTTGAGATCTTTTGCCTCTGCCTCCGGAATCACTGGAATTATAGGTATGCACCACTGCACCCAACCACAGTTATCTGTTTTATTCTCCACCTTTTTCCTACTGGAATTGAAACTCTACAATAAGAATATCTTATTTCATTCATTACCATATACCTACAACAGTGCCACATAGAATGAGTTCTCAAAAAACATTTGTTAAAGAACAATCTCATTACACAGGTATTATTAATTTTTCAGATACAGAAACGAAACCACAATTGTGTACCTATAATAAGAACCTACTGAAAAAACAAGAGTCCCAATGAAACACATAATTAAACAAAAAGCATAATTATTAACTTGAAAAAATAAAATCTAGCAGTGGAAACAAAATATATTCAAGATCTCACAAGTAAGATATAATTACATAATACATAAACAAGCTAAATTTATTGATTACATAAACTATGGGTTTTTACAATAAAGCAATGAACTAGGTTGAGTGTCCCTGAGTTAAAAAAAAAAAAAAGTCAAATCCATATGCTATGCTATTTCATTTGAAACTACAATAGAAAAGAAAAACACTGTCTGTATTCAATCAAGCCAAATGGTATATTATCACATGATTTATCAGGTTCAGCTTATAAATCACAACTGTTATCCAAGAAAATATCGAGAGAGATAGTTGTTTTCCTTTACTATGCTGAACTATAAATGAAAGAAAACACTCATTATACCATGCCCTGTAGAGACTCTTAGAAAACTCTGTCTTAATAATATTAATATTCTAGACTTGAATAGCGCTATTATCTAAATAAAAATATTTGGAACCTTTCTTAAGCATATCTCACTCATATTATGAATTAGATATGTGAAATATAAACACAACAGAATACAATTGACCTATTTAAACAGAAATGGCCAGAAATAGCTGAAATAAATGATGATCCGATCCCACCTTCATCTGATCTTGGTTATTCCCACACAGGAACCTCTCCAGACATCACACAAGGGCTACATACCTTCCACTGCCTTGACCTTCTCCTCCAATTCCCGCTTCCTTTCCTCTTTCAACATCTGCTCCTGTTCCTTTTTCTGCACTGCAAGGAGAATCTGCCGTTCTTCCTCTTCCTCCTTGCGCTTCTGTTTTTCAATTCTGGTGAGCACAGGAGTCTCCTGTGAGGAGCCAATGAACATATCGAGTAAATTTTGAACAATAACACAAAGCAGTTCATCACTTCTTCAATTTATTGAATTCAATAAATACAAATACATCAAATTCATTTAAAAGTTTATTGCATTATCTATAATATATATGAATGGGCATATAAAAACACACTAAAATGGTGGGGGCTGGGCTCAAGGGCACATGCTACTTCAGAGGCTGAGGTAGGTAGATCACATGTTCAAAGCTAGTCTCAGTAAAATAATTTAAGACTCAAGCATGGGTTCAAAAATTTATGATTTGTAGTCTTTAGGAAACAATGTCATATACAATGTGATGGACAAGAGAAAAAAATTGAGAGACATTCCTCTAGATTTATTATTTGATGAAAGTGCAATTTTTAAAAATATTTATTTATTTTAGTTGTACACAATACCTTTGTTTGTTTTTATGTGGTGCTGAGGATCCAACCCAGGGCCTGGCACATGAACAGCTCTACTGCTGAGCCACAACCCCAGCCCCTACTTTTCCCATTTCTAAAGATCAGTAAGTTTAAGGAATCTCTAGCAAGCTTTGCTAAGATAAATAGAGAAGACGCAAAACACCTTAAGAATCAGCATGGGAGCTGGTGATGTAGCTCAGGATCCAATTCTTGCTTTGTTTTTATGTGGTGCTGAGGATAGAACCCAGGGCCTCGCATGTGCTAGGCGAACGCTCTACTGCTGAGCCACAAACCAGCCCCATGAAAGTGCAATTTTTAAAAACATCTTCAGCTCAGTATACTAAGGATGAAAGTTATTAGACAAAGTACGGGTTCACAATTTAAATGATTCATGACTTTTTTGCATGTTTTCCAACCTAAGCAACATTAACATAAAGATTGCAAGTGGCCAATGGGAATGTGATTACCTAAGAAATCAAACAAAAGAAAAGGTAAACTAAGGAAAACAGGACCACTACCACTAATAATTTTATGAAAGTTTTACAATGTATATTTCCCAGTAAAACTAGTTCTGAACCATTCTACAGGCTAGAACACTGATGTTTATTTTCCATTTCTTTTCTCAACTTTTTTGCTAATGTAAAAGCTAAACATTTTTCTTTTTTCAGTACTGCTATTGAAGAAGTCATGCCTACTGCCTGCTACAGAGAATACAAATTGCAGTGGTCTTAATGTGGTGGGAATAAAGAATGCAGAATGACGATATACAAGTCACCAGTCAACAATGAAACTATTTTTAAACAATATATTTTGTTTATGGTTCTTAAAACCACTTTAGATCCCAATTTGACTCAATTTGGGGGTGATGTTGTCTAGGTAGTGGACTTCTAGGCATCATTTTTATCACTCAAAATATTTGAGCCTGCCTTTAAGTTTATAAGGACAAAATTGGGAACGAACAGGAGAAGTTAAATAAAAAAATTAAATCTGAATCACACACATAACAGTGTGCTCATAAGGAACCTCAGTAGAAATAAATAACAACCATAAGCCTCCCAAATCATCATTATCCCACAACCAGAGGTGAAATTGATGATAATTCTGAAAACAGGGATGCTACTGACATTTGGCAAGGACTTTTTCTTTTGAACCAAAATGCCTCACTCATGCTAAGAAAGCACTCTACCACTGAGTTACAATCCAGCCCAAGGACAATTCTTTTAAACAGATGATTGGTTACATCTCGTCACTGCCTCCTAAATACATGTCAGTGAAGCAGGGTTCACTGCTTCAACAACAATCTCCACCTCCCCCCTTTTCCCAAATCCTTATATATTCCAACTCTTGATAACATTTTCACACAGCTGAGAACATATTAACCCAGAGTTACCAAGTCGAAAAAAAAAAGTATCTATAATGACCATACTTTTAATTTATGCATACTTTGCCCTTCCCCACAAGACTACAGATGAAAATATGTGAAATATTCTTTTCTTTTTTTTTTTTTTTTTTAAGTGGTGCTGGGGACTGAACCTAGGGCCTTGTGCATGTAAGGCAAGCACTCCATCAACTGAGCTGTATCTCCAGCCCCCCAAATATTCTTCTTTCAACCATTAGATGTATATAAAAAGGGATCAGATTTTGGGGCAGGTGGGGGCTGGGAATGGAACACAGGGCCTTACACATGCTAGGCTAGGCAAGGCAAGTGTTCTACCACTGAGCTGGATCCTAAGCCCCAGGATAAGGGCAAAGCTGCAAGTACAGCGCACCTGCCAATCATCAGCCGTCATCAGTTCAGTGAGGAACAGCCCTGTCTGAACTCGGGATTCAACCTTGGGGGTAGAGTTCTGATTCTTGTAGGCTATGGGTACCAGTTCAAAGAAGCAATGCTTATCTTAAGTCATATACAAATAATTTGAAAGATCATAGATCATAGATAAATTTTAATCTGCAGGGAGAAATTTGATAAAGCATTAGGAAAATAACACTCGTAACTACTGAATAATGTTTTCTTCTCCTTTTATTAAACTGTAATTTTCCTCTGAATGAAATTCTGCAATATTTATTGCCCCCCAAAAAAACCCTAAATTTATTTTTAACTGATCCATAAAAAGCACAATAATTGTATGTTAAGAGATTATTATGTGATATTTTAAAACATATATAGAGTATAATCAAGTTAAATTAATCTATCTCATCAAACATTCATCACTTCCTTATGGTAGGATTTACAATTCTTTCCTTGAGCTTTTTCAAACACATGGCATAAAATTCCTATTTGCAGTCACCCTACTGTGCAAGAGCACAACAGAACTCCCTGCCCTCTTAACTGCGACTCATTGCCCACTTATCACTCTCTCCCCATTACCCCTCCCTTCCCATATTCCCCAGAGATTGCTGCTCTTAAATCAAAGTCATGGTTATGGATCATTAACAAAAACATTATGTAAAGATTACCTTTATCTGGTTATTTCTTTTCTTACTGGGGTGAAATTCACAAGCAAAATTAACCACTTTTAAACCCATTCCTCTCCCATAGTGCCTGGCAACCATCTACCAGTTTTATGTCTCTGTAGATTTCTTTATTTTTGGATATTTCACATAAATATGACTACACAGTATGTGTCTGGTTAGTTATTTTTAAAAATATATGTGCTAAACACACATGCTATAATAACTGAGTAATCTGAATTACAGCTTCTTTAAAAAACAAACTTAAAGCTCCCTGAATGTCATTTCAAGGTGAGGTCAAAAACCTAAAGCTGGCGGGCATGGTGGCCCCAACCCAGTGAGTCTGGAGGCAGAGGTCCTAAGCAACTTAGCAAGACCCTGTCTCAGAATAAAAAATAAAAAGAAATGGGGATGGGGCTCAGTGGTTAAGTGCCCCTGCCTAGGCTTGCCTGCCTTTGTACATCTGTGGCCCCCTGCCTTACAGTGTTGACCCCTACCTCTATTGTTTAATCTACCTGTTCTCATATCACTTTCTGTAGAGTTCACCCCACCCAGCATTAGCATGTCAGGTGAAAAACCCCTCTGCTTGACTGAATACCCTCCTCTGCCTCACATTTCTTGTGCCCTTTTCTTTTTAACATAATGTTACAATTCTAGCAGTTTCCTAACATTTTACATAAAAGACATCATACACATCTGAAAAAAAATCCATGTTGTGTACCAAAAATCTGCTTTTAAATTTCTGTATTAATTTTTAGCACTCTGCCACTTAAAAGCAAAACGTATGCTAATGAAAACACCACTGGAGGACAGGATAGGACTCACTTTCTGAGGACACCAGTACAACAAAATGAGCCAAAACCAAACCAAAAAATTAAACAGTGGGGAAAAAAGAACCATACTGTCTCGCACAGGGATTTTCTTTTCAAAAAAGAGGTCAGCTGCGAATGGGATAGGGGTTGGTGTTTAAATGTTCTATAGATAAGAGGCCTACTAGAATCAAGGGGGCATCTTAATGAGAAGCTAATTAGAAACACTACTTTGAAATCCTCTAAAGGATTATTAACCAGAATCTCTGGTTTAAGCAGTGCCCTGGTTCCCCTCCCCCAAGGCAGGCACTTAAGACTCACTGGCACCCTAGAGACTATACCACCACAAACAGCTCCCTGGCAACAACAAGGTCCAGAGCCTGCTGGCAAAAACACCCATGGCAGCAGCCTAATCCTGGGGTTCAGTGAGACAGTGGCCCTTCACTGATAGTTTCCCCAGGAGTCACAATTAAAAGACTTTTTGAGGCAATAAAATTAGACTCCTGGGTGACCAATGCCTGCATGCTTGAAAGGCCTGAAAATTTTCTGCTCTAAAAACAAAAGCACAAAACACACCACCATTAAGGTGTTCTCCACATTAATGGCCCATATCAGACAGATATTAAAAAATCTCTATAATGCTGTGGTTTTCTGTTATCTCAAACTAAAGAGCAGAATATAAAAACAAACCCTGCCAAGAATAAAAGAAATATTGGTGCCTGATGCTGAACTTCTGCTTGCAGCCATGAAGAAGCATCAGTGGTATTCAGATTATAGATAATCTGAAGTGTGAAACAGGGCATGGAGGACTGCAGAGCATTGAAGAGCAAACAGAAAGGAACTTGCAAGAAATATTAATAAAAGGAGTGGAAATAGTGTAGATGAGCAAGATGCCCTGGAAACCCACTGAAAATTGCAGCTAGATACCAACTACCAAAGGCCATTGCCAAACCAGTGAGTCCTGAGAGAAAGAAGAAAGGGGAAATGAAGCCATTCAGTACAGAACTGTCACCCAGGGGTAATTAGATAGATGTTGATCCACTGATCTCCTGGTAAGAGGACACCTAAGAGCAAAGAGACAAAAACTAAATAATATATAGAAATCAATAAAAAATTTACAAATTATCAGTTTTTCCCTTTTTCTCAGCTCAAGGTATAATATATATAGTTAATGATAGATTCTCTGTAATACAGCACTGTGTTGACACTTCTGTTTCAGAGCTCTGAAAATACTGCAAGGGAAAAAAAATCATATGTATGTGTATAGCAAGGTAAGGTATAGAGTAAAAGAACTGAATCCTACTGTAAAACTTAAGTATGCAAGGGAACAGTGACAAAGGGAGAATAAATGGTTACAAAGTAAAGAGAATGTGAGCAGGCCACAGCACCTAGTGTGGACTGTAGCAAACTCAAATTAGCAAACAATGCAGGCAGATCTTGATATGGGACAGCAAGGTTCCTGCTAATGACTGTTTAAAAATTTTTAAAAATTTGTTTTAATTAGTTATGCATGACAGTAGAATGCATTTATGCACTCTGTATCATGCATAGATGAGATATAATTTCTCATTTTTCTGAGTGTACATGTTGGTCATGCAGTCACGTAAACACATATAGTTTCATTCTACTATTCTTCCTATCTTGCTAATGACTTTTAAACAGCTTCACCTTGCTGCCTTCATCTCCTAGCTTCTTTATTTGACTCTATTTGCCTTCCTGATCACTTAAAGCCATACCAACCAGAAAAGTTTCTTATGCCTTTCTAAATTGTTCTCTAAAAATCTGAATGAATAAAAACATTATCTGTTCCTTTCTACAGTGAGATGCTAGAGTCATTTAACTACTTACTCTAAACTACATTACAAAATGCAAACATTCAAACTTGGTTGGCTCCTGGATGTTCCAAGTGGAAAACCCTCGAAGTAGTAACTCGTTAGTTGTTCCCTCAAAGGTCTTTTTGTCAGGCCAAACACAGCCCTGCCTACACAAATTCTCCATTTTTGCTTAATTCTAATTTCTTCCACCTTTGCATTCATGAATATCTTTTATCTACTATAGAACTTATCTTTCTCATGTATATTAAATATGGATGTGACTATCAACAAACGAGATTTTAAGATCCAAAAGAATGTGACTTCCTTATCTTTACAGCTCCTTCTTTCTGGAATTGCATCTTACAAAAATTAGGTTTAGAATGAGAAAAAATGGCATAAAAAGAAGTACACGAAAACGGCACCATTATTTCTGAACACTAAAACCTCCCTCTTTACTCTCACTCACCTCTTGCTTCATGGCTTTGATGGACAGGTGGTCAGAAATCCACCTAGGTTGCAACTCTGCCTTTGTGCGCAGTGAACGTTTTCCCTATAGTTAAGAAGTATGGAAAAGAAATGAAAAGATAGATTAGGGTATTCTCAGCTACTGCTGCTGCCGCCGCCGCTGCTCACTACTGCCAAAAAGTGACCATAAAGGTATGCTGGTAACTGCTTTACCTTGATGGAGGGTTAAAAGTATCCACGCTTAGGATAATCACAAAAGAACTCTTCAGCTGTTCAGGAAACTAAGCCAGTGTATGCTCTTAAAACAAAAACACAAACAAGTGTCTCCTTTGATAATATCACTGGCAAAAAAATTCCCATTGACTGTTAAAACATTTAAAAACCTAAATACAGTTTTAAAACTAAATAATCCCCAAATGGTTAAGGGGAAGCCAATGTCTTATAACCTTCAGCTGTAAGGAGTGGCTCTGAGAGCCGACACTATGTGCAGCTGGAGGCAGAATACCCCTTTAAAAGGCAGGTCAGTAGCAGTAGTGAGAAGTGAGGGCAGCTGCCCAGGCTGGGACCCAAAGTGAGTGAGTAGGAGTGGGAAAAAGGCACAGAGACTTGGAATTAGAGAGCTCACCTGAAAATATTACAGACCTAAGAAAATTCAGAAGGACTGACAGTGACTGCTGAAGGAGGAAAATTTCAAAGAATGAGTTTCCAGGAACGATGTACATCTAGTCAATCACTGGAAGGCCACGGTGTATTAACGTATGTATGTTTTGGAACTTTATGGAATAAGCCCCATAGCTTCACCTTGTAACCTATTATTAAAAGATGGTAAGCAGGGCTATCAGGTCAGTCACTGCAACTTCTGTGGCTACAGCATCAAACTCAGATTTGATTCTGGACCCCAGTAATCCAAAGTCTTGAGACTTCCTGAAGAATCAAGAAGACATAAGGAATCAAAAGATGGAAAAAAGTCAATGACAATAAGGAGTGGTTTATATGGTTTAACCACATTGCAAAGTATGGTGGTAGATTTAATGAATCATCAGTTTTTGAAAGGTTTCCACGGAAGAGAATGAATAGGCTCCAGTACAAATGTGATCCCAAGTATCAAGGTGTCATGACACTTTTTTCCAAAAGCTACTCTAGCATTTTTCTCATATGCCTAAAGTATACCCTTTGTAAGTTTCAAGGCTCTAACAGGAAGTGTTTTTTGTTTGTTTGTTTTTATGGTAGTCCCAGAGAATGAACCCAGGGGTGCTTTACCACTGGGCTACAGCCCAGTCCTTTTTACTTTGAGACAAGGTCTAAGTTGCTTAGGGCTTCACTAAGTTGCTGAGGCTGGCTTTGAACTTACTATCCTCCTGCCTCAGCCTCCCCAGCTGCTAGGATTACAGACATGTGCTAGGAAGATCTTCCAAACTTTAAATAAATAATAAATGTACAGAAACTGTCTTCAAAAGGAACCACACCAATTTACCATGTTAATAGCAAAAAAAAAAAAAAAAAGCCAATACCATTTTCACTCCAACTTTGTCACCTCCAATGAAAGTAACTGGAAAAACAAGCTATGCTTAATACAGATGGTGAATGTTTTTTCTCTACATTAAGATCACCTTTTGTGGGGACTGGGGCTCGGCTGGGGTTGTGGCTCAGTGGTAAAGTGCTCACTTAGCATGTGTGAGGTACTAGGTTCAATCTGCAGCAGCACATAAAAATAAAATAAAGGTATTGTGTCCATCTTTAAAAAAAATAAATGTTTTTTTTTTTTAAATCACCTTTTGTGTAAACTACCTAAATCTATTTATTTCTTAAGGACTTTAACGTTTATAAGCTATCTTTATAAATGTTACTTTTTGTATCATAAACAAATAATTTCAGTAGTGTACACCCCATTTTAAGAAAACAAAAAAACTCTTATGTGGTTAAAGCAGCCCTTAACCTTCTGTTTTTCTTAAAGTTTACCATCATACTTCCAGAAATCCATCAAGTTTTCTGACTCCTCGTGCATTTACTTTGTTAAGAAATGTGGGTTTAGTTTCCTAACAATCTTTCTCATCAATTACCCATCATCATTAACAGTGGAAGGGGACCGAACACCTATTGATTGCTACATATACTGACATGGGTTCTTTTAATTTCCACAAAAGCTTCTGTGAAGTTACAGCATTTCATTTTGCTAATAAGATTAAATTGAAACTGAAATTCAGACACCTCAGGTATAAAGACGGCAATACCATAATTCATATATAGTTGAAGAAAAACTCTTAAAGTTCTTATTACCCTAATAAGCTTTCGCCACTGCTCAAGTTTTTGTGCTTCATTTATATACTGTTGCTTTTTTGCATTGCTTTTGTTTTGCAGTGTTGGGGATTGAATCCAGGGGTGCTAGCTCCACCGAGCTACATCCCCAGTCTTGCTATCTGTTACCTGCCTCACACTCCCAAGTAGCTAGGATTACAGGTATGGGCCATCCCTGGCGACATACCATGTTTTAATATGCAATAGTGTATAATTGTGAGCACTGCATTCTTTTCTGCCAATCTATGTTTAAATTTTCACATTTGAATCATGAGTATTTCTTCATTGTTAGAACAAAATTCCTCATGGTTATTGCAACTACAGTGAGTAATGATAGCTTAACATACAAAGCAGGGAATTGGGCTGGGGTTGTGGCTCAGCGTTAGAGCGCTCACCTTGTAAGTGCAAGGCTTTGGGTTCGATCCTCAGCACCACATAAAAATAAATGAATAAAATAAAGGTATTGTCTCCAACTACAACTAAAAAATAAATATTAAAAAAGCAGGAAATTTTAAAAATGTATATACTTTAAGCACTTAATTTACAAACATACTGCCATTCACCAATTGTAACATACTGAGACTCACCAAGAGGAATTCCCTGTGATTTGTTCACATAAACATGCTCTAAAATCTTCATTTGCTCTTTCAGTTTTAAAGTAAGACTTTAAGAACACTTGTAAACCAAAGGTAAGAATCCTTATGATTTTAAGTACTCTCCTACAATCTTTTACAATTTTACCCAAGTGGATAGCCAACATTTTAGAACCACCTTTTTTTTTTTTTTCCCCTTGGTGGTAGTGGAACTGGAGATGGAATCCAGGGCCTCATGCATGCTAGGCAAGTGCTCTACCACTAAGCTATATCCCCAACCCAAGCAACTTATTTTAAATATCTTTTTAATCCTTTTTTGCAGTTCTGGGGATTGAACCCATGGCCTGACACATGCTAGGCAAATAGTGTTAACACTGAACTTATATATCCAACCCAATACAAACTTTTATCAGAAATTTTATTGCCACATTTTATTGGTTTCATAAATTCTCAAATGTTTAACTATAATAACAAGTACAACAGGAACAAACAGGCTCATAAAAATGCTACAACTATTGAACATGTAACTCAACTGCTGAATGCCAATTATAACAAAGATTACTAAGAGTTGATAACTATCTATAACTTTGAGCAAATCACTTACACTAGGTGAGCCTTAAGTGAAGGCTTAAGGCTTCGAAAATGCTTCTGATATGCTGATTCCTGTGCTAATATCCAATATACCTACTTCACACTATTTACATTCGCCTGTTTTTTTTGGAGGAAATTTTTACTGTGTTGGGATTTGGAAGAGATTACAATAATTTTTAATTTATCCAGGTGAATATTATGCTCTATTTTACTCTTTCCTCCCACAAACAGATAATATATCTACCAATGAATTTGTAAGCTTATTTTCCTTATAAGACAATGTACAACTCTGACAAATTTGTTTCATTGCTACTATAATGGATGTTTTTTCCAGAGAATTTTAAATTTTAGTATACACAATAATCACCTGGTGAAATTCTACAACTGCAAAAATAACAGGTACTACTTGGAATAACTCTGCAAGGGTTAGGAACAGAGCAGAGGTAGGAATGAGAATTTTTGGTAAACACGTCCAATGATTCTGATGCAAACAGTCTGTTTCCCAGCACTGTTAAGAAATTCTAGTTAATAGACATTTTATTAGATTTATTGTCTCCAGGCAAACATTCAAAAACTTTGTATGTTTGTACCCTTTTTTGCTATATTATACTGGGCAAGCCATCCAAAATGTTATTGCCAGTATTACATTCTCAGGTTTAACTCTGATTTTTGGCTAGGAGGTAGCTTTTGATTTGTCAGTATTACAGAAATATAGATTATTGAATGAGAAGAGTGTTTAATTTAATCGGGAATAGGAATATAAGATACCTTTCTAAATTAACAAAGGCACCTTCACATTTTTTCCCTTATCCTTTCCTAGAAAGTGGAGCCAAGGCCTCTCATGCATACTAGTCAAGTGCTCTACCATTGAGCTACATCCCTGGTACCTCATTTGTGAAATGTTTGGAAATTATTCTTTGAAGGTTTAGAAAATTTCAAATCTTCAAAATTTAAAATAATTGTGCATAAATCCAATTAATTCCGGTTTTATCTTTGTTTTGCTGAACTTGCACAGGACTGGGAGCATGACAACTAAGGGTTCTACAACTGAGCTACACCCCCAGCCTGATTTTGGAGGTTTTCTTGAGATCCTGTTGTGAAACCATTTCTCAATTGTCTGCTAAAATTTTCTACTTCATAATTTAGATTCTCTTTTTTTCTGGCTAACACTGTTTTAAAATTGAAAATACTGTATATCTTTCAAAATATCAAATCTTATAGTTTCTATTTTCATGGTTCTTAAAAATTACATTGAGACATAAAAAAAAAAAAAATTTTTTATCTTGAAAAGAATCAACCCAGGAAATGTTTTTAACAAAAGCATCAGTTTTATACTTTTAAATTTTGCCCATTAATTCTATTATCTACCAAAATCTCTGTATAATATAGTTGAAAAAGCAGATATAATAAGCTAATTAGTTATATGATTTATACATGGTTTATTGTGCCACCATGGGCCCTTTAGATCAAGTCACATACAAGATGATACAAAGCCACAAAACCATCTTAGTTATTTTAAGAAAATGAGACTATATATAATTTTTGTAGAAAATTTGTCACAGTAGGTTCAAGATCACAAAAACTAAATGAAATGCTCTCATATGGAATTAAGCACACTGATGTGAAGTGCAAATATTCTTGATGAATATCATCAAGTTAAGTCTTCAATAACTCACTGTTTATAAGTTCCTCCTAGAATGCCTAGAACTTTCAATAAAGGATTCATCTGGGGGGTGGGATTGTGGCTCAGTGGTAGAGCTATTGTCTAACATGTGCGAGACCCTGGGTTCAATCCTCAGCACCACATAAAAATAAATAAATAAAATAAAGGTATTGTGTCCAACAACTTCTAAAAAACTAAATATTTTTTTAAAAAACGATTAACCTCTTAAAGGTTACATGCATCACTGAATCCAGAACAAATTTAGTAATGTATTTGATATTTTGCTTTTCCCTCTATGTGCTGGAATAATTTATATTTATTTTCTCTTCAGATTTCATTGGCAGATGCTCCAAGATTTTTGGTTTTCTATTAGCATATATTAATAATAAAAAATATTACATTATTGAAATGCAATAATAGAATGATTGTCAATCATTCACTGTAGAAATCACATTCAAGGTCAAGAGCAGGGGCTGTAATCCCAGAAACTCAGGAGGCTAAGGCAGCAGGATTACAAATTCAAGGCCAGTTTTGGCAACTGAGCAAGATCCTGTTTAGAAATAAAAGGGGTTTGGAATATATTTAGTTGCATAGCACCACTGTGCTCAATCCTGGTATAGCAACAAACAACAACAACAACAAACAGCATTTAATCAAGCACTTCAGAGGTTTAAAAAAATAATAAGGCAGGGGAGGTCCCTGAGCTGAAGAAGCTTAAACTCACAATGAAAGCATGAGAAAAAAAAATAAGAAAGAAAATCCTAAGGCTGGGAGAAACAGACAGTTCATGGATATAGTAAATTTGAAGATGGAGTTTAGAGAATAGTATTCAAAGGGGTTAAAAAAAAAAAAAAAAGGAGGTATGTGTGCTGGGGAAGAAGTTGTTTGAAAATGTCATGAATTAGGGTATGCATGCATGGAAATACATATAAATAATTTATAAAATTATAACTTGCCCTGAAGTTGGAGAAAAGGGCACACATAGCTCAGGTGGCTAGGTCTAGGAGCTGGCACTGAAGCCATCAAGATATATGCTCATCAAAGTCTGTTGTTTAATGAAAGAGATCCATAATATGGTGATTTTTGGAAAAAAATTTTTACAAAATCCAGGCACAGTAGGGCACATCTGTAATACCAGTGGCTTGGTAGGCTGAGACAAGAGGATCACAATTTCAAAGCCAGTCTCAGCAAATTAGTGAAATCCTGTCTCAAAAGAAAAAATAAAAAGAAGTGGGAATGTGACTCAGTGGTAAATTGTCTCTGGGTTAAAGCCCCAGTCCCAAAAAACAGAAACTAATAAAACAACAAAAACCAAATAATCATTATACAGAGGTCTACATGGGGTGACAGGAGAGAAACTGGCAGGCTCGGGGCGCATATCCTGAGAAACAGTATAGAAAGAAAGCTGGTTCTAGCCTGTGAAAAGCTATTTAAGTACTGGTGGGTGCTGATCACAGAGGAATTCTTGGGGGGAAAGGAGAATATGTGACCCACTCTGGAAGCAGAATTGGGTGGTACAAGATCCCATATTAACACGTCAGTTCAGACAGGATGACAGTCTGTAATACTTCAAGGACAGTGCATTCAAAAATTCAAATTAACATCATAGCATCAAACAAGCGGTCTGATGGCACTGAACACTTCAGTGTCTCTACATACCTTCTGGGCGATCATGTTGCAGATCTCAGGCAGGAAGTCCTCACTGAGAAGCTTATAGAGCTGCCGCTCTCGAAGGGAGGTCCTCTCTCGAAAACTCTCAGTGACCTGTCTCCACTCCTCTTCTGTTTGGCACAGGAGCCACCAAGTGCCTTGGCCTGGTCCTTGAGATCCTACAAAAGAAAGGCATGATTCACTATAAGATATCCTAAACAAGGACATTTTTTTCTGTATTTATTCTCAGGATTATTTCTAACCTAGGTCATGACTAAAACAAGAGAAGAAATGTATACTTTTGATTTTCCTATTGCTGTCACTGTTTACCAATAAAAGACTAGAGGCAATACAAATATAACTATTGTGACTTTAATAAGATATTAACATCCCAGAAAAGCTTAAATGGATTTATATACTTTCCCAGAAAAATAGTTTGAGCACCATTACAGACATTTATGCCTAGACCCATTTAGATTGTGATACTGTAAAATACTTGATTATTTTCCCCTAAAATATGCCATTTGGATTACAGGATGAAAATCAGAGAGAAAACCCATATGGAACACATAAAGTGCTGATGTTAATGGGACAGTTCGCTGAGATACTATGATTCACTAAAATGTTTGAGTTAACATACTTTGTCTTGATATTAAGCTGTCAGATGGAGAGATGGGTATGGGACAGGTGTGAGGAAAAAAGAATTGAAGAAGGGGAGGGAGGCTAGTTATAAGACTACTGCAATCATTTTAATTGCTTTCAATGACTTTGGAAAAAGACAGTCACCATCATAATATACATGAATCATGTTGACTTGATCTTTTCTAAATGCCAACAAAGATCATTACCATTTCTGGTCTGTGACTCAGACACCAAGGAGTTTTCTTCCTGCTTTTCACTGTAACACAAGAAAAGGTGGCAGCAATTAAAATAAAAACAAATTCAAATTTGCACAGTACTTCCCTTAGAATAGGAAAGACAGTAGAATAATTTGGACATAACTCTCCTATGTTCATATATGAATACATGACCACTGTAACCCCACATCATGTATAATCATAAAAATGGGAAGTTATACTCCATGTATGTATAATGTCAAAATAGACTCTACCGTCATGTATATTTAAAAAGAACAACATGGGGCGGGGGTTATGGCTCAGTGGTACAGCACTCGCCTTGCACGTGCAAGGTCCTGGGTTTGATCCTCAGCACCACATAAAAATAAATAAATAAACAAACAAATAAAATAAAGTTTAAAAATGTTAAAAAAAAAAAAAAGAATAACAACAATAAAAAGACCCAATTAACATAACACAAAGAGAAAGACTGTATGTTTGTAGATACAAGAAGAATGGTTCTACAGAATAAACGGACACTAGAATTTAGGCATGTTGCTAAAAACCATAAGTTCATTTGGGTACCAATGTTATGGCAATAACATCATCGTACAGAAAAATAACAATTTTTAGAAAATCAGACAGATGGGTTAAGTGTTAATAATTAAAAGTCGAGAAAAAAAACTAGGGATTCCATTGTCCTTTTCCCTAATGCAGGGCTATACTGAGAATAGGTGTTTTTAATTTGCTCCTATGTAAGGTAGAGGCTAAGAACATGGGATCTGAAGTTGAACTGCATCTTTCAAATCAGTGAAACATGCTTCTTTCAAACCATGTGACCTCAGGAAAGTGAAACTTTCCTGTAAAATGGGGCCATTAATAGTTCCTACCTCAAAGGATGTCAGAGATTAAATTTCAAAATGAACAACAGTGTTAAATGTCATTGTCATTTGTCAATTATTACCCTGAAACAAACAAACAAACAAAAAAGCTGGATTTTTTTTGTTGTTGTTATTTTTCAAACATTTAAAGCAGTACACTCTTAAATACAACTGTGGGAAATGAAAAAGTTTCCATCAAGCGTTGTCTGATATGATAGCCACAAGCCACAGGTTACTGAACACTTATAAATTTGAATTTTCATTTATTTTAAAAATGTTTCAATAGTCTCAGATACATAGCTCTAACTACCAGTAGAGGGTAGCACACGTCCATGTGTGCTTCTTAAAATGACTCTATAATCCCAACAGCAAGGTACTTTAATTGTGCACTCACAGGGAAATGGAGTTACATAAAACATTTTCTTGAACATAAAAGAACATGTGGACCATGTAGAATCCAGAAACAGGTAGTTACCATCTAGTCAAATCAGGGAAAATTAAGCGGAATGCTGATTGAGTTAACAAAATCAAATTCTGATGGAACTACATAATCTGATTTTTTAGGAATGTGTTTTTGTGGTTAAAAAAAAAAAAAAATCACTGAAAAAGGCTTAATCCAAGCATTTAGATAAGTACTTACAGTTTATAAACTTACTAGGAAGAAACTGCTTATTCTGTTAACAGAAATTTTAGGAACGGGCCACACTTCCATTGCTTTATAATGATAGACCTGATTCTTAAGTGAAAAGTATATTTATATAGTATAGGTCAGATTGGGTCAGATTCTGAAATATACTCATATCAAGATTCATATGGTAGTCTTTCCTAAAAGATAATGACACACAAAAGAAATTATTTTCAATACAAGAGGATGCCTTTTCCTTTGCTAAAATTAAGAAAATACTTTAGATTTTCACCTTTTCTTTATTGTAGGAAATTGCATTCTACATAAAATAAAGTATGTCTGGGCATGTTAAATGCTAAGTTCTCTGCTGAGAAATAATTAACCCCTGACCTCAGATATGATAGGTAATTCTACTAACATGCTGATTAGTTAACAGGTAACCACAAAATTAATTTGCTCTATCTTTCTGTATAAAATGTGTGGTTCAATAAATTCTTAAATGTTTGGTATAACAAATGTTTATCAAATCTTTACTATGGGGCTAATTGTAGAGTGCTTGCCTAGCACTGGTGCAATTCTCAGCACCACATATAAATAAAAAAAATAAATAAATAAAATAAAATGTCCATCAACAACTAAAAAAAAATGAAAGTTTAAAAAAAAGCAAAACACCTTTACTATGGGTCAAGCATGATTTTCAGTTTGTTACACTGGCATGCACTGTTGTGTTCAATTTAATCCTCATTAAATGGATAATCATAATTCAATAAAATAACAGGCTTAGGGAAGGTAGGTAACTTTGTAGAGATCATGCAGCCAGGGCTTCCTGGTTCCTTAATGTACACTCAACAAGGACTCTGACCTTGGGTCTCCACAAGCAAAGTCCCATGTCCTTCCAGAGGCAAAAATAAAAGATGAAGAAACAAATGAAATGAAGGATCCTCCTAGCATGAAGGCATGTGACCAGAGAATAACAAGACTTTCTCACCTTGCAATAATCTCCTCCTGTAGTTTCTTGCGTTTGGGGGGCCTTCCTCTTCTTTTTCCTGTTTTTCCAGGAACACTTGAGACATTTTTTTGTCCTTCACTTTCCCTAAGAAACAGTATGGTCACACGTAATTCTAATATAACTAATTATAGTATTTCTGGTCATGAGGTTACCAAAAAGGATTAAATGTAACAAAAACAAGGAATGGGGAGGGTAAAATGTCTTCCATTATTATTAAACAGTGGAACCAAGGAAAACTGACATTTTGCACTACGTAAGCTCTACACCTTCCTAATAGTAAGCATTACTCCTACCAACAAGGAAGTCTAAATAAAATAACAGGCAAGCATTGTTCTGGAATGCTGTGGCGAAGAGGTCTCTTATTTAGGAAGTACTCAGTAAAGCTTACATTTCAGGCCATCATTTAAAGTTCTCTGGAATTAGGCTGATGGCTCCTAACAGTCAAAGAGCAGAATATCAATTCTAATAGAAAATGGAGTTCTTGAGGCATGCCTATGAAAGATGAAACTGTTACATACATAACTGTGCTGTTCAGAAGAAAATGGCTGTATTAAAATAGTCTGTAGTAAGGTAGTGGTACTCCTTAGAAATCACCATAGCCTTGTGAAGAGGCTATGGAGTAATTCCTTTTAATTTATTTATGCATTTATTTATTTTGCATTGCACCCAGGGCCTTGCACATGCTAGGCAGGCTCTCTGCCACTGAGTTATATCCAAAACCCTCATTTTAATTTTTGTATGGTAAGACTCCTTTCCTTGTCCATTTCCTTTTAGGCATGCTAATACAATTAATTCCTTCAAAAGAGAAAAAGAAAAAAAAAGCAGCGATGTACTGATGTAGGATTCTGATGCACTTAATTTTAACTGCAGCTGTCACACCCTGACATTAAAGACTGTACCTGCTCAAGGAGAGTTCGCCATTGGACTTCCCTTGTACTGGGTCCTCTTTGTACATTCGTGTTCCATAAAAATACCAGTAGAGGGCCCCAGAATTGTCTTCCCCCAGAGGTTCCACACGGAGACTGTCTGCATCCAGGCCCTAGACCCAAAAGGAATTGGGAGTTTGGGAAAATGAATAAAATAAAAATAGGAAAAAACTAAAGTGATTCAAAATTCAACTTTAGCCTCGTATTTTAAAATAACCAAGTATCATATTTATTTTTTGATCAAGACAGACGAAAGAGAGACAGAATGGGAAGGGACTACCTTCTTTGAAGAACAAGATATGCAAATATCTCAAATGTTCCCTACCCTCACCACTGCTCCCATTTCACCAAAAAAAGCTATCCTGCTGAAGGGCATCTAGGTTGGTTCCACAGTTTAGCTATTGTGCTGCTATAAACATTAATATGGCTGTGTTACTGTAGTATACTGTTTTTAAGTCCTTTGGGTATAGATGGAGGAGAGGGATAGTTGGGTCAAATGGTGGTTCCATTCCCAGCTTTCCAAGGAATCTCCATAATGCTTTTCATATTGGCTGCACCAGTTTGCAGACCCACCAGCAGTGTATGGGTTTGCCTTTTCCCACACATCCTCACCAACACTTATTATTTGGAGTGAGATAAAATCTTAAAAGTAGATTTGATTTCCATTTCTCCAATTGCTAGTGATGATGAACATTTTCTCATATTTGTTGATTGATCGTATATTATCTTCGGACAAGTGTGTGTTCAGGTCCTTGGCCCATTTATTGTGTTATTTGGGTTTTTTTGGTGTTTAACTTTGAGTTCTTTATATACACTAGAGAAGAGTGCTCTATCTGATGTGTGAGGGGTAAAGATTTGCTCCCAAGATGTAGGCTTTCTATATTACTCAGCAATAAGAGAATACAATCATGGCATTTGCAGGTAAATGGATGGAGTTAGAGAAGATAATGCTAACTGAAGTTAGCTAGTCCCAAAAACCAAATGCCGAATATTTTCTCTGATACCAGGAGGCTGATTCATAGTGGGATAGGGAGGGGGATCATGGGAAGAATAGAAGAACTCTAGATAGTGAAGAGGGAGGGGTTGGAGGAGAAGTTATGATGGTCATATGAAGACACAAATTGGTGTGAATATACTTTGTACACAACCAGAGATATGAAAAATTGTGTTCTGTATATGTATTAAGAATTGTAATGCATTCTGCTGTCATATATATATAATTAAAAAAAATAGTTCTGGTGAATGTTTTTTTTAATTTGGTTTAGAGGTGTTATTCTCATTTTACAACTAAGTAGTGTTAAAGATGTTTCAAAGGTTTTGTCTTTTGTGATACTCTACCATAGCTCTATCATTACCCACAGCCACCCCTTCCTCACTTATTGCTGTGCCTGATCCATACTGGCCTTCCCAGAACTGCTGAGGTCCTCATCAAAGAGTGCACTGGATTACATGATGATTCTTTTTTTTAAAAAAAATAATAATTATTATTTTAATTGTAGTTGGACACAATACCTTTATTTTATTTATTTTTATGTGGTGCTGAGGATTGAACCCCAGGCCTTGCACATGCTAGTGAGCCTTCTATCGCTGAGCCATAACCCCAGCCCTACATGATGATTCTTAGGAGTCCATCCTCAAAGCTGGTGTGTGTATAGGGGATAAACTTCACTAGCAAAACTAGTTTCAAGTTCCAGAGTTTTCAATAGGTATTTTAATTATGCTCAAATTTAGACCTTGGGAAATAAAATTCAGTGGTCAAATTAGTTACAGTATGAATAAGTGCCTCTTTTTGGTCCTGACTCAGCTGGGATAAAGTGCATGGAAAGAAGCACAAAACCCAACTAGAAATTAAATCAAAACAACACACTGCCATATAGATAACGCAGCTTCTGTTCCTTTGGCTACAGGGTCATGGTTGTGTTCACAGTGTCACTGTCAATTAAGAGCATACAGACAAGCCACCCAAGCCAAACTCTGGCATCTCGTATTAGCTTTAGTTTCATGTCCTGACTAAATTCCTCACTGCTGTTTTTAATTGCTCTAGAGAAAGGACTGCCAGTGAAGCACCTTGAGGAGGTCAAAGACATCATCTGCATCTAGCCGATAATCACAGAGCCGGTGCAGGATCTCCACACGGGTGCGAAGAGGCAAGTCCTGGAAACTGGCTTCTCTCAGAGGATTGGGTTTCCCTTCTTCGAGCTCCCATCGGTAGTTGATGATGTCCTCCAGGTAGCTGTGGAATGTCTGAGGCCTAACCAAACAGCCCCAGACATGAAAATGCATTAATATAAAACAGATGATGGGTAGAAACAGGGAGAGAGAGGTGAGTTTGATAGCTGATAAATTTATGAAAGGTTCTGAAAGGAACTATGAGGACCTCAATGAAGCTATATGTACTAGACCCTCTATAAGTTTAGTCAAATTTAAAAGAAGATAAAAACGTTGAGAGAGTTTTTCACAGAATAAGTTGTTTTCCTTTAAACCAGACAGCACATTCTGGTCAAATAGGTAAAAGTTTTATATTATCAAAGATATAAATGTGAAGTGGAGGACAGTCGCATACTTTGCTCATATAATTAAAGAGACTCTATGAAAATTATTTAGTTCAAAATTGGATCCATCCCACAGACTGGCACAAAAAATAATCACAGAGTCTGCCCAACTATTTAAGGTTAAGATACCAAAATTTGAAACTGGCTTATGGCAGAACATGAGGAGCTACTCTAATATGCAACTATATTATATTCTCCCTCTCCCTTTTAAGAGATGAGGTCTCCCTTTGTTGACCAGGCAGGCCTCAAATTCCTGGCTTAAACCTCCTGAGTATCTGGGACTATGGGAGTACTTAACTTCTAAAACCAAATATATTTACTTTTTAGTTGTAGGTAGACACACAATATCTTTATTTCATGTGCTCAGGATTGAACCCAATGCCTCATGTGTGTTAGGCGAGCACTTGACCACTGAACCACAACTCCAGCTCAAATGCTTAATTTTTTTTAACATTTATTTTTTAGAAGTACTTGGAGACAATACCTTTATTTTGTTTATTTATTTTTATGTGGTGCTGAGGATTGAAGCCAGTCGCATGTGCTAGACAAGCGCTCTAAAGCTGACCCACAATCTCAGCCCCTCAAATGCTTAATTTTCTTAATATTTAATTTTTTAGGTGGACACAATATCTTTATGTGGTGCTGAGAATCAAATCCAGTGCCTCACTCATGCTAGGCAAGCACGCTACCACTTGAGCCACATCCCCAGCCCCTCAAATGCTTAATTAAAAAAAAAATTATTTATTTGTAGATGAACACACAGTATCTTTTATTTATTTTTATGCGGTGTTCTCAGTTCTCTCAAGGCATCTCCATACCACTGAAATTAGTCTGAGGCTGCTTTGAATATGTTGAAGGGGCATTCCTTGGAATGCCCAGATACTAGGGCCAGGACCTCAGAAGGATCCCAGCCCTTTTTAAATATTGTATTTACAGACAGGGTCTTGCTGCATTGTTTAGGGCTTAAATTGCTGAAGCTGGCTTTGAAAAGGAGACCCTCCTGCCTCAGCCTCCCCAGAAGCTAGGATTACAGGCTGTCACACTTGGCTGATGTGTAACTTTGTTTCTTCCTAAAGGGTAAAGAGGAATGAGGCCCTATCAGTTATCATTAAATTTTAAGAAGAGTCATACCCATGTTGACTTACAACTATGATAGTTACATCTGTAACCCTTATTGCCATGTGTGGTTCAGAAGCACAAGCCAGCCAGTCCCACAATATGTCTGAACAGTGTGGTTCTCTGTGCCATCAATCTGTCTGGAAGCCCTTACCTGACTCAAGAATTGCATGCTTTACAAGGCTTTCCTACAGCTCTATTATCCTACTCAGTTTCAATTACACCATGTTTGTTCTAAGTTCTCTTGAGGCATCTCCATACAACCTTAACCAAATGGTACTGAGGGCTCACAATGCAAGATAATTCAGATCTTGTACAGATAAACCTTCTCATATAAATCTACTTAAAGATGGGGGAGGGGGACTTTTGAAGGTAAATGTACTGGACAGAGTAAACTCACACCAAAGGCTCCTTTCCACTCCTGGCTCTTAACCCTTTGTAGGAAATAAAACCATATACTCTCAACCCTAGAAAAACACCAACACAAACCAAATTTTGCATATCTTTCAGATTTTGCTATTTAAAGGAAGAAGAGGGTGGTAGCAATGTACTCCCCAAATTAACTGTGTGAACTAAAATTCAGTTCTAGAGTTTACATTACCTGGAACATTCATTGATTAACTCATCCATTCAGCTCAGAGCAATTCCCTCTTAATGACTTAAATACCTCCCATCTTTATGAAAAAATCCTTAATTAAAAGAAAAATTATTTGAATATGGTAACGAGGATATCAAACCAATGAAGTTTGAACACAATAAGATCAACATTCCCTGTTGTCTGACAAAAACTCCAAACACTCAATGACCAATTTTCTCATTCATTTTCCATCCTAAAAAAAATAGCAGGAAAGACAACTGGTTGTTTTTTTAATAAAATATTTATTTTTTAGTTTTAGGTGAACACAATATCTTCATTTTATTTCAATGTGCTGCTAAGAATCGAACCCAGTGTCACACGCATGCTAGGCGAGTGTGCAACCACTTGGGCCACATCCCCAGCCCCACAACTGGTTATTGTTTAGTATCATGTGAAGAAGAAGATGATACTGGGTAGTAATTACCTCTCTGTTCCTTAGAGATTGAGAGATAGAGGATGAAAATAAGGATGAGTCAACTTTCAGCATTAGGCATTCATTTCTTAGAACCCCAACAGAGAGCCTCAGCCTGCTCCAGACAGAACAAGCTTCTACTGGTGAGCCATGATGGCATGACTAGGTGCTGGGTTTTCACACAAGTCTCAGCTGGCTGGAACTGGCAGAACTTGTGACTAGGCAGGGCAACAGATTTTATTATCTGCAACCTGTTTTGGAAGATCACAGATGAAGAGTTCTCTGAGGCAAGCAAAGGACACAAAGGACAAAAAGGGACAAAAATCCTTAGTCTCCCTGCAAAGGAATAATTAAGGCATGGCATCATGCTTAGTATACAATGTAAATGAAAAATAAAATCACATTCTCCTATTTGCTGTGCAATCTGCAAAGCAAAGGAAGCACATGCACACATAGTTAAGTCACAGTTAATACAAGTCCTAGACTGAAATAAACATCCCAGTTCTAGTAAAACAACAAAAGGCTCTATAAGAAAATTTAAAGGGTGGCGGCATAGTTTATTGGTAGAACTCATGCTTAGTATGCGCAGGGTCCTGAATTTAATCCTGTGCACCAGAAAAACGAACAAACAAACAAACAAAAAAACTGATAAAGCGGGCTGGGGTTGTGGCTCAGCAGTAGAACACTCGCCTAGCATGTGTGAGGCCCTGAGTTCAATCCTCAGCACCACATAAAAATAAATAAAGGTATTGTGTCCAACTACAACTAAAAAATAAATATTAAAAAAAAAAACTGATTAAGCATTTATTCTTCAAGAGCATAAAATGACCCAGGCCAAAATAATTAAAATAACAGTTTTTCAATAGGGCCATATGGTAGCATCACATCCAACATACCTAAAATTAACAATATAGTCAAGATACTAAAGTATGGTTACTCTTCCAGGCATGGTGGCAAATGCCTATAATTCCAATAACCTGGGAGGCTGAAGCAGGATCTCAACTTTGAAGGCAGCCTCAGCAACTTAGTTCAAAAGAGAATGAAGGCTCTACAGTGGTAGAGTAACCCTGGACTCAGTCACAGGTACGGAGGGGTGGTGGTGGGAATCATAACTATTTCAAATTAAAGGAATATCTTATTAAGTGAAAATCAACACAAAACATATTCTCTACTTGAGAAACATGTTTGTAATACAAATTTTACATGTGTTTATGAATGTTTATGTTGGGTAGTCAAAGAAACCCAACATGCAATAACTTTGAAAAGATAAAATGTAATAGAGGCTAGATGGAACCCTAAACACTATTTGTGTAAAGTAGAAAGTCAGAAGTGAAAGTTTTTCTTTGTGAAGAGGTACAATAAAAATTTTGGATAGCTTCTGATAATTTAAGGGTGCATACTATAAGCCCTACACATATACACAAACACAGAAACCAATAAAAGAAAAAATCATGTAGCGCAACAAGAAGCATTATAGAACAGAGGAATGAATAAACATTAGGAAGCACAAAGAAAGATGCGATGCTCTTCATCAGTAATCAATTGGGAAATGTAGTTCAAAAAGATGGCAAAGAGATACTACTACTACACACACACATTATAATAGTGACATCAAAAAGACAGTAACTGCTGACCAGGTTGTGAACCAATTAGAAACCCCCAAACACTGCTGGTGGGAATAAAAACTGGTTAGGCTGCTTTGGAAAATTTGACACATTACTAAAGTTACAGTTACCATATCATGTAGCTACTTTGAGATAACTGAAAACATACATCCAAAAACCAGTAAACAAAGATTTAAATCAGCCTACTTCTTGAAGTCAAAAAATGGAAACTGCACAATGTCCCTCAACTGATGAAGAAATAAAATGCATATTCACAATTTATTAGGCTATGAAAAGGAATAAAATAATAATTTATACTATAACGTGGATGAAAATTGGAAACATCATGCTGAGAGAAAGAATCCTGACACAAAAGGCCACTTCCTGTATGATTCCACTTCTAAGAGATACCTAAATGCTGGGTAGGGTGCAGCATGCCTGTATAATCCTAGTGAGCCAGGAAGCCAAGGCAAGAGGATGGCAAATTCAGGGCCAAACTTGGTAACTTAGTGAGACCCGGTCTCAAAATTAAAAGGTCAGGGGATGTAGTTCAGTGATAAAAGTGCCCTGGATTCAAACTGCAGTACAGAAAGGACGGGGGTAGGGGCCACCTAAAATAGTGAGATGTATAAAAGCAGCAAGCAGAATAGTGACACTAGAATTGCAGGGTTAGGGGAAATCAGGAGTGAAGAGACTTCGAATGGGTATGAGACATCTTTGTGCGGGTGATAAACATGTTCTGTAATTAGTAGTATGGACACACATTTTATGAATTTATTCAAAATCAATGAAGTGTATACTCAATCTCAGAAGAACAAATGGGAAAATAATAACACTGAAACCCACATTAAACAAATTGGATTAAACATTCCAAACAAAAGGCAGAAATCAACTACAGGTCATCTATAAAATGTAATTTAAATACAACAA